TATAGTTATACAGTTACTAGAATTATTCGATGCTTTTTAACCAATGACTAAAGATTCTTGTTGAGTGAACAAGTGACTTTCTATATCGATAGAAGTTGAATGTCTTGATTGATTCTGAAAACCCAACAATCACATAGAGAAATTCGTCTTCTTCCACCGCTCTTTTTTTTGTAAAATTTACAATATGCGACAATCAATTAGAGAGAGAGAGAGAGAGAGAGAGAGAGAGAGTCAATGAGTGTATTAAAAATGAACCCATTTTCACTTAATGGAGGGCGCCTACACTAAGTTTGTTTGTTGGCAACTATTTTCCTCGCCCATCGTCTTGCATTGGGGATGTGATTTCAGAAGCTTCTAAAAAAATGCACCAAGTAGCTAGTAAGGGACAAAAATTAAAAATAATAACTACAAAAACATAAATTTAATCACCTAATAATTTTACTAAAATTTTGTTTACGAGGTCTCAGGATACTAGGGGAAAAAAAGAAAAAAGAAAAAAGAAAAAAGAAAAAATATCAAACCTGGAAAGTGACAAATTATATTTAGAGGTACGTGTATCCGAGTATGTGTCATTAAAAAGAAAAAGAGAGAAATTTATTAAATTAAATTTAGTATTTTTTTTAAAATTTTAACGTAATAAATAGTCTTAGCAAGTATTGAATTCATCAATTTTTGAAATAGGAGAAGTGTGACATATATCAAGAGATCGAAGATCAGTTAATAGGAAAGAAAAAAAAAGTAATAGGGAAATAATTAATTACCTTTTAAGATCGTCAGTCGTGCCAATTTCGTAGACTTTGACTTCATCACACGCATTTCTCACAGTAAAATTTGTTTGTTTCCTTTGTTTGAAGCTCCACAAAACGACCCCACTTCCAAACACCAATCACGGACTCAGACGCGTTTCCTCCTTCAAATGATGAGTCTGAAAAGAATCACAAATTGAAAATATGATCAAAAAAGTATATGACTAAGTCACATCAAGTATAGTTTTTGAGCTCCTACGTTGTTCTCCCTGTCCCCATACTGGACATTAGAGTGAGCCTATGTTGTTTTCCCATAAAATAAATTTATATGTATATGTGTGCAATGGCGATATACGTAAATATTGTATTGTCTTATATTGAAAGTAAAATTTCATGACTGTTATAAATGAAAATAGTGATAAGTACGTAAGAATTTGAATGACTCATTTTAATAAGGTTGACATTTTTTAAGATGAAACCCTATATTAAGTTGTAGTCGACCATTAGAGGAAAGTAATATTTTTACTTTTATTGCGTTACTAATTTTGGCCTCATATAAGAAATTAAAGTGCGGTGCTAGTATTAAATTATTGTTTTAGAAAAATTATAAAATCTGAAAAGGATTTATTTGTACAAAAGGAAGAAACAAGTTGTGTACAAAAGATAACATATTTTTGCCGATGAATAATGAATTTGTCATTGTCTTGGCCATTAGGAATACGAAGTTAAAATTAAATTTGTAGGGGATGTCCACTTTATTATTATTATTTTTTTTTATAGGAGAACTCGTAGCCGTTACCCTTCGAGTGCGCACTGGATAAACCCTCGAGCTGATACAATAGCCTGCAAACCACGCTAATCAGGTAAATCGCACTAAGCAAGTCCCGTGCGACAGGTTCGATCGAGAAAGTGTTGTAGGAGGAATCGAACTCGTGATCAAATGCCTCCGCACTCACCTACTCCACTAACTCGGCCACTCCATGAGGGATATGTCCACTTATCTTTCTTCCGACAAGAGGAGGACTCCATTTAATTTTGATTTTACATACTAATTACTATTTTTTAAAATTGCATACAGAAGAATAATGATGCATAAATTTACCGGCCTGACATTTTTTACTTTTTATTTTTAATAAATGAAGCATTCATTGTATCGTTGTCAGTTCAACATATATGATTATAGTGATTTACAAGCAAAATGAGTTGCGCGTATTTTGACTTGTTAGATTGAATATATGCAAATGATCAATTTTTATTGAGTGTTTCTTCTCTTCAATCATAATCAATTTAGTCAGCCCAATAAGTGAAAACAAATGTTTCCTGTGAAATACAATCTAGATTAGAAACATTTATAATTTTGTGAATTAGTACTTACCAAAGTACCAATTCAAGCTTTTGGAATTCAAATGGTTCGGTTACATATCATAAATGTCGGTGAACTTCTCTATCTAATGCATCATAAATCATAGTGTCTAGCACTTCCATTACTTAAGTAACGACTTATTGCATGTGAGGGTAACCTTCATACTTCCTTGTTCTTTATAGACATAAGCAGCTTTGAAAGATTAGTATTAAATTCCTGTATGCACGAACTATAGAGTCCTTTTATGACCTAGGAGTATATAAATGAAAGACTAGCCTTTTGAGCCCGCTATTCCTGAATCCAATGAAGGAATATTGTCTGCGGTTAAAATGTCTTTTCGATTGCCTATGAGCACGTACTTTAAAAGAATGACTATGTTACATGTACACTTTTTATGGGCCCGCATATAATTTATTATGCATGGCCCCCTTCATGTGGGGGTATAAAGTGTACAAATACACTAATCATTCAAAGAAATATAACTCTATTTCTTGTTTATTCAAGATGTGAAACTATGGTGGCGTATGTAGGTAAAAGAGACCAGTACCTACCTAAACTAACATCCCACATAGCCTCTGAACGTACTCTCATAGACGTGTAAAAAAAAAAGGTACACTAATCAACCACATTTTGTAATAATTTAAATGAATGTCAATTAATTTACAAACAATTTGTCATATTCGGTGACATGGCAGCTTGAAATTCTATTTATATGCATTCATAGTTTGGCAATAAACTTACAAGCCAAAGTTTTGAGTTCTTGATGGCCTCTCTCATTTCTTCTCCTCTCTTCAAATTTCTGCTTATTTCCTTCACTTTTCTCTCATTTTTTCTGAATAAAAGCTATGCTTTTGAAAGAAGAAAAGCCATAGGAAGCCATTATCATACTGTTGAAATCAGCTCTCTACTACCTGCCTCAGTCTGCAGCTCCTCCACCGAAGGTTATACATACAAATTCTATATATATCTCTACCTTCATGCATGTTTATTTATCGATCATCAGTAAATATAACTATTTTTAATTCAAGTTTTCTTATATATTATGTAATTTTGTATTGTGGGTCGGGTCAGACCTTAATTGAAGGATTCTGGTCAAGAAAATATTGTAAAGGGTACGGGAGATCGAGGAGAACGGTTTTTAATGTATTCTATCTTGTTACCTTTTAGTCTATCGTAACAAACTGTTAACCTATTCTGTGTCTTTTTTTGTATGCCACATTCTAAAAACAAGTTACTTATTTTTTGTCTTGCGAATTCGAATTCGCTTTCTTACAAATAAAACTAACTTTTCTAGAATGTAAATGTATAATTTTTAAGCACATCTCAATATTAATGATTTTACTGTATTTACACCAAAAAATGTAAGTAGTATTTACTATTTTTACTGAATTCCTCCGGGTTTTTTACACATAGTACTGACCATATACAAGAATAATATTCTCTAATATGATATCCCAATCTTTCATTATTCTTTCTTTCAAGCAATCTTCTCTCTTTAAAAAATGTGTTCTTTTTGTTTTTTTTTTTTTGTTTTTTTTGTTTTTTTTGTTTTTGGGATTATAGTTATACCCGTTTTCGACATGCAGAATTGGATAGAGATGAACAGTACAGAAAAAATATTTTTCTTTCTAATATTATTAAATATTATAAAGTCTTAACTTACCGAACAAGTCCAAAGAATTTGGGTCTTTATGCTTGCTTTTGGCAAGTAATGATTTTTTTCTTGTGGGATTATTTAAGATTGCAGTAAATAAAGAAACTGTTAAGTGCATCACAGCTGTATTATAGTGTAAACCTAACTTTTATGTTAAGAAGAAACAGAACACAACTGATTGGTGGCTTGTCAATTGTCATATACACATACTGGGTGTTCATATTATGCTCTTTGTCTGTGTGGATTTTTGTGTTTGTTTGGGGTTAGGGGTGGGGTATGGTAGAGGGTATTGCATCTCAAATTCACTTTCTGTTATGCACATATTTAAAATTTCTCTATTATACCTTTTAATTATGTCGACTAATGTGTATCAAACACGAAAATTCATAACTTGTCGACTACTGTGTATCGAACTAAAATTCGTAACTTTAATTGTTATGGGAATACTATTTAGTAAACCTACGCCTGTTTGATCAGCTTTGTTTACATCTTTCATTACTAAGAATCAATACGATATTAATTTGCATAGTTATTATGTCCTAATTGATCATACACTGACCAGGTCCCAACAAGAGGCCATCGACATTGAAAGTTTTCCACAGGCGTAATCCATGTTCTAAACACAGCCAAGACAAGGCCACCACATCCCTCTACGAGACACTCTCCCAGGACCAGTCCCGGGTCGACTCGATCCAGTTCAAGATCAATCAGAATGTAGACATTGACAAAATTAACGATAAGCAAGCGACCCTTCCGGCCCAATCTGGTCAATCACTCGGCTCGGGAAATTACATTGTAAGCCTTGGCCTTGGAAGGCCCAAGAAATCCTTGTCCTTGGTTTTTGACACTGGAAGTGACCTAACATGGACTCAATGTCAACCCTGTGCGGGCTCTTGCTATACACAGAAAGATCCAATTTTCAACCCTACTGAATCGACCTCATATTCAGATGTCTCGTGTAGTTCCACTCAATGTTCTCAGCTCTCCTCAGCGACTGGAAACGACCCAAGTTGCATCAACCAAACATGTATGTATACCATGCAATATGGTGACCAATCCTTCACTAAGGGATTCTTTAGTAAAGACACACTGACCATATCACCATCAGATGTAGTTCCGAACTTCTACTTTGGCTGTGGCCAAAACAACGATGGCCTGTTTGGCAACACGTCCGGCGTACTAGGCCTTGGCCAGGACGCTCTCTCTATCGTGTCCCAAACCGTGCAAAAATTCGGGAATACTTTATACTATTGACTCGTCTCGCGTGTGTCTGGCTTTTGCAGGAAATAGTGATGCCTCAGATGTGGGCATTCTAGGAAATATCCAACAAGCAACGTTGGAGGTGGTGTACGATGTTGCCGGAGGGAAGCTAGGATTTGGCCCTGGTGGATGTTAAGGGGCATATGCATATACATCTACAGAAAGCATATGGTGTGTGACAATAATTTGGACTTTCAGCGAAAGAAATTTGCTGATAAAATTTATAGGGATTGCCTAAGCTTGTGCAATGGTTGTCAGCAGGAAAATTGCACTTTTCCTAAAAATTAATCAAATTTTAGATTAACGACTCATTATTGGATACATGCTATGATCTTAGCAAATATACCACAATAACCATTCCGAAGATTGGTTTTACTTTCGATGGCAATGTGAAAGTGGATATAGTGGCTTCGGGAATACTTTATACTATTGACTCGTCTCGCGTGTGTCTGGCTTTTGCAGGAAATAGTGATGCCTCAGATGTGGGCATTCTAGGAAATATCCAACAGGCAACGTTTGAGGTGGTGTACGATGTTGCCGGAGGGAAGCTAGGATTTGGCCCTGGTGAATGTTAAGGGGCATATGCATATACATCTACAGAAAGCATATGGTGTGTGACAATAATTTGGACTTTCAGCGAAAGAAATTTGCTGATAAAATTTATAGGGATTACCTAAGCTTGTGCAATGGTTGTCAGCAGGAAAATTGCACTTTTCCTAAAAATTAATCAAATTTTAGATTTGATCTTCGCCATTTGAGATACCTGCATAATTATTTTTTCTTCTAGTCGCAATAGAGGGGGAAAAATTGAATGGTTATTCAATACTGTATCTTGACTCGTATGAACAAATTGAACAAATTGCATGGCCATTCAATATTGCATAGCAAGCATGTCTAAGTGTCAATGACGCTAGGTCGGTCGAACAATTTTGCA